TGTATGTTCATACACACACGTATGTTCACACACATGTATGTTCATGCACACATGTATGTTCACACACATATGTTCACACACACACACGTATGTTCACACACGTATGCTCATGCATGCACACACATGTTCACACGCACACACATGTATGTTCATGCACAAGCACATGTATGTTCACACACACATATCCTCATGCATGCACACACATGTTCACACACACGTATGTTCACACACAAGCACACGTATGTTCACACACATGTATGTTCACGCACACACATGTATGTTCACGCCCCCACGGCCATGCCCCTGTGTGTGCTGCCCGCAGGGCCGGAAGGCGGCCGCCTGCAGTGACAATGTGACGGAGGCGCGGCTGCGCGTGGTCACGGGTTACGTGTGCCAGGCCACGCTCGTGCCCCCCGACCGCCCCCGCCACCAGGGCCCCATCTCCTCACAGCCAATCAGCCTCGGGGACCGCATCCTGGGTGAGCCCCGGGACCCATCCCCATTGACCCCATCCCCAGGGACCCATCCCCATCCCCAGGCACCCCCCATCCCCATCAACCTCATCCCCAGGGACCCATCCCCATCCCCATTGACCCCATCCCCAGGGACCCCATCCCCAGGGACCCCCATCCCCAGGGACCCCCATCCCCATCAACCCCATCCCCAGGGACCCATCCCCATTGACCCCATCCCCAGGGACCCCCCATCCCCAGGGACCCCAATCTCCATCCCCAGGGACCCCATCCTCATTCTCAGGGACCCCCATCCCCAGAGATCCCCATCCCCAGGGACCCATCCCCATCGACCCCATCCCCAGGGCCCCCATTCCCAGGGACCCCCATTCCCATCAACACCATCCCCATCGACCCCATTCCCAGGGACCCCCATTCCCATCAACACCATCCCCATCGACCCCATTCCCAGGGACCCCCATCCCCATTGACACCATCCCCATCGACCCCATCCCCAGGGACCCCAATCTCCATCCCCAGGGACCCCATCCCCAGGGAGCCCCCATTCCCATCCCCAGGCACCCCTCAGTGCCATGGGGTCCCCCCCCAGCCCTATGAGACCCCCATATCCCTGCCCCCCTGTCCCACAGGGGTCACCACCAGCTCCACCCTGGACGGCATCACCTCCCCTCCGGAGCTCTTCCCACTGGGACACCCCGACCTGCCCGACATCATCTTCTTCTACCGGTGCGTGCCCCCCCCCTGCGCCCCCCACTGCATCCCCTCAGTGCCCCCCATTGACCCCCATGTCCATCCATGCAGGTCCAATGATGTGACACAGCCGTGCAGCTCCGGCCGCGCCACCGCCATCCGCCTGCGCTGTGACCCATTGCTCCCCAGCCCCGGCACCCTCAGCGTGCCCAGGTGGGTGCTTGGGGGCCCCCATGCGGTGCTGCCTGTGCCGTGCCCCCCATCCCTGTGTTGGTGCCTCCCCAAGTGACCCCCCCATGGTTTTATGTGTGTCCCCCCTGCAGTAAATGCCCCGAGGGCACCTGTGACGGCTGCACCTTCCACTTCCTGTGGGTGACGGGCGAAGGGTGCCCCCGCTGCTCCTCCAGCCACTATCGCCCCATTGTCAGCGCTTGCCTTGGTGGCGTCCAGGTATGACCGCGACCAGGGTGTGACCATGACTGTGGTGTGACCATGATGATGGTGTGACCATGACCATGGTGTGACCATGACCATGGTGTGACTGCAGCCATGGTGTGACCATGACCATGGTGTGACTGCAGCCATGGTGTGACCATGACCATGGTGTGACCATGAACACAGTGTGACCGCAACCATGGTGTAACCATGATGATGGTGTGACCATGACCATGGTGACCATGACCATGGTGTGACTGCAGCCATAGTGTGACCATGACCATGGTGTGACCATGAACACAGTGTGACCACAACCATGGTGTAACCATGATGATGGTGTGACCATGACCATGGTGTAACCATGACTGTGGTGTGACCATGATGATGGCGTGACAGCAACCATGGTGTGACCGCGACCATGGTGTGACCATGACCATGGTGTGACTGCGACCATGGTGTAACCATGACCATGGTGTGACCAGGAACACAGTGTGACCACAACCATGGTGTAACCATGATGATGGTGTGACCATGACCATGGGGCAACCATGACTGTGGTGTGACCTTGATGATGGCGTGACAGCAACCATGGTGTGACCATGCCCATGGCGTGACCGTGATCGTGGTGTGACTGCAGCCATAGTGTGACCATGACTATGGTGTGACCATGAACACAGTGTGACCACAACCATGGTGTAACCATGATGATGGTGTGACCATGACCATGGGGCAACCATGACTGTGGTGTGACCATGATGATGGCGTGACAGCAACCATGGTGTGACCATGACCATGGCGTGACCATGATCGTGGTGTGACTGCAGCCATAGTGTGACCATGACTATGGTGTGACCATGAACACAGTGTGACCGCAACCATGGTGTAACCATGATGATGGTGTAGCCATGACCATGGTGCAACCATGACTGTGGTGTGACCATGACCGTGGTGCAACCATGATGATGGTGTGACCACAACGATGGTATGACCATGACCATGGTGTAACCAGAACCATGGTGCAGCTGCAACCGTGGTGTGATCACGCCTATGGTGTAACCACAACCGTGGTGTGACCACGACCATGGTGTAACCAGAACCATGGTGTAACCACGACTGTAGTATAACCATGACCATGGTGTGACTGTGACCATGGTGTAACCACGACCATAGTGTAATCATGACCATGGTGTGACCACAACCATGGTATAACCATGACCATGATGTGACCATGACCATGGTGTTACCACAACTATGGTGTTACCCCAACCATAGTGTAACCATGACTGTGGTGTAACCACGACCATGATATAGCCACAACCATGGTGTGACCACCACCATCGTATGACCACAACCATGGTGTGACCGTGACCATGGTGTGACCATGACTATCGTGCGACCACAAGCATGGTGTAAGCACAACCACTGTGTGCCCACAACCATGGTGTAACCACAACCATAGTGTAACCATGACTATGGTGTAACCACGAGCATGGCGTGACCACGACCATGGCGTGACCATGACGATGGTGTAACCATGACCATAGTGTAACCATAACCATGGTGTGACCACGACCATCGTGCGACCACAAGCATGGTGTAAGCACAACCACTGTGTGCCCACAACCATGATGTAACCATGACCATAACCATGATGTAACCATGACCATGGCGTGACCACAACCATGCTGTGCCCACACCCACCAGAGCCACCCCACTGCCATTCCCAATGGCATCACCCCCAACCCCTCCATTGCTCCCCCTGCAGAGAACCACGTACGTGTGGCGGGAGCCGCGGCTGTGCCGGGGCGGTCGGAGCCTGCCCCCACCAACGGTGCGGCCGTGCCGGAGCGCCGATTTCTGGCTCAAGGTGGGGATCTCCGCGGGCACCGGCGCCGCCGCGCTCTTGGCCGCCCTCGCCGCCTACTTCTGGAAGAAGAACCAAAAGTGAGCGGTGCCCATGGGATGGGGCAGGGTTGGGGGGGGGGGAATGGGGATCACCATGAACCGGGTGCCGGCCCCCGGTGCACCCATAGGTTGGAGTACAAGTACTCGAGGCTGGTGATGAACGCGGCGGCCAAGGAGAGCGAGCTGCCGGCGCCGGACACGTGCGCCATCATGGAGGGGGAGGACGCGGAGGACGATCTGCTTTTTGCCACCAAAAAGTCCCTTTTTGGCAAAATCAAGTCCTTCACCTCTAAGGTCCCCCCCCCAGCGTGGTACAGCCTCACCCGGTGCCGCGCTCACCGCGGTGCTGCTGATGCCCATCCCCGCAGAGGCTGCCGGACGGCTTCGACTCGGTGCCGCTGAAGACATCGTCCGGTGGCAGCGCCATGGAGCTGTGATGGGCACGGGGGTCCCCATCCCAGTGTCCCCCTCTGCCCCCCCCCCCCCCCCCCCCCCCCCCCCAAACCGTGGCCTTAGGGACCTGCTCCCGTCCGTGCGTCCCCCCCTCGGCAAGCACCAAACGGTGCCAAATAAACACAGGCGTGGGCTTTGTAGGATGGCTCCGGGTGCTCTGTGGGCACCGGGACATGGAGGGGGACGGGGATGGGACTGGGATCCGGTGCAGGCAGCACCAGGGTGCTGGTGGAGGGGAATGATGGGGGCCATGGGGTGCTATGGTGGTGCTATGGTGATGCTGTGGTGATGCTACGGGGTGCTATGGGGTGCTATGGGGGTGCTATGGTGGTGCTATGGGGTGCTGTGGTGGTGCTATGGGGTGCTATGGTGATGCTATGGTGGTGCTATTGTGGTGCTATGGTGATGCCATGGCGTGCCATGGGGTGCTATGGTGGTGCCATGACGTACTATGGTGGTGCTATGGTGGTGCTATGGGGTGCTGAGGGGTGCCATGGAGTGCTATGGTGGTGCTATGGGGTGCTGTGGTAATGGCATGGGGTGCTGACGGGTGCCATGGGGTGCCATAGTTTGTTATGGTGGTGCTATGGCGTGCCATGCGGTTCCATGGGGCTCCATTGAGTGCAATCACTGCTATCACTGTAGGTGATGTAGGGTGACATAAGGATCCATGCTTTGCTATGGGGCTCTATAGGGTGCTATGGAGCTCCATGGGGTGCTATGGGGCTCTATGTAATGCTATGGGGCTCTATGGGATGCTATGGGGCTCTATGGGATGCTATGGGGCTCTATAGGGTGCTATGGAGCTCCATGGGGTGCTATGGGGCTCTATGGGATGCTATGGGGCTCTATGGGATGCTATGGGGCTGTATAGGGTGCTATGGAGCTCCATGGGGTGCTATGGGGCTCTATGGGATGCCGCTCTTATCCCCCAGGCGCCCCGCGGGTGCTCCCGCGCCGTGCTCCGCCGCTCCGCCAGGGGGCGCGCCAAGCCCCGCCCACTCTCTCTCCCTCCGCCCACCTCAGCCCCGCCTCCTGCGTCAGCGCGCACGTTGCGCGGGGGGCGCAGGCGCAGCGCGGGGGTTGCGCGGGGTGCGGGAGCCGCCATCATGGTGCTGGACCTGGACCTGTTCCGCGCGGACAAGGGCGGGGACCCGGCCCTGGTGCGGGACTCGCAGCGGCGCCGCTTCAAGGACCCCGCGCTCGTGGACGCGCTCCTGCGCGCGGACGGCGCCTGGCGCAGCTGTGCGTGATGGGGGAGGGGCGGCCCCGGGGGTTGGGGGGGGGGGGGTGAGGTTCCCATGGGGGATCCCGCATCCCCGCATCCCCATTGCACGTGGAGCCGCTGCGGGATCCATTCCCACCGGGATCCGGTCCCACCGGGATCCGGTCCTACAGGGATCCGGTCCTACCGGGCTGATGCAATCCCGGTGCGGGATCGTGCCCGGTGATGCTGCAGAGGGCGGGGGGGGTCACCGCATCACCGGGGTTGGGGGGGTCTTAGGGGGAGCGACTGCGGCTCCTGGTCCCCTCCTTGAGCACCCGGACCCCATGGATGCACCCAGACCCCATGGATGCAGCCAGACCCCATGGATGCACCCAGACCCCATGGATGCAGCCAGACCCAATGGGTGTACCCAGACCCTATGGGTGTACCCAGACCCAATGGATGCACCCAGACCCCGTGGATGCACCCAGACCCCATAGATGTACCCAGACCCAATGGGTGTACCCAAACCCCATAGATGTACCCAGACCCCATGGATGCACCCAGACCCCATAGATGTACCCAGACCCCATGGGTGCACCCAGACCCAATGGGTGTAACCAAACCCCATAGATGCACCCAGACCCCATGGATGCACCCAGACCCAATGGGTGTACCCAGACCCCATACATGCACCCGGACCCCATGGATGCACCCAGACCCATAGATGCACCCAGACCCAATGGGCGTACCCAGACCCCATGGATGCACCCATACCGAATGGGTGCACCCAGACCCCATGGATGCACCCAGACCCCAAGTGTGCACCCAGACCCCATGGCTCTGGCTGTGCGCAGTGGCCCCAGCCAGGTTGTGGCCTTCAGAGCAGTGCTTTCAAATGAGACCCTTGTGTGACACCCACTGCACCCCACAGCATCAACCCCTGCCGTGTCCTTCCCGCATCCCTGGAGCCGGAGGGGGATCCCAGCCCCATTCCCACTCCGGTGGCTCCTTCCCCTCTTGGTTTGCAGGCCGGTTCCGCGCCGATAACCTCAACAAGCTCAAGAACCTGTGCAGCAAAACCATCGGGGACAAGATGAAGGTGAGGCCGGAGGGGCTGCCCCTGCCCGCGGGCATCCCCGCAGCGATGCTCGGCCCCTTGGAGCTGCATCCTCACACCCTGCGCTTCCCCTGCAGAGGAAGGAGCCGGTGGGGACGGACGAGTCCGTGCCCGAGGGAGCGCAGAACCTGGAGGAGCTCACGGCCGAGGTGCTGGGGGTGAGTGTGAGACCCCCCCCTGTTCCCTGCCCCATGGCACCGGGGGATGCGTTGAGCCCCCTGGCAGCAGCATCCCCATCACATCCCAGTAGGGACCGGTTCCGTGCCTGTCCTTAGAGCCCTGTGCTGCTCCAGTGCGTCCCCTGCCCCGCTGTGCTTCCCTCCCTCCCTCCCTTCCCAGTGTGGGGCTGCCATGGGAGCGCCGCACCCCATGTTCAGAGCCCTGCTTGGGTCCGTTCCTTGTCCCCCTGGGTCCCATTGGCTGCACATGGGGTTTGGAGCTGGGATGAGCAGGGATGAGCAGGGATGAGCAGGGATGGGCAGGGATGAGCAGGGATGAGCAGGGATGGGCAGGGATGAGCAGGGATGAGCAGGGATGTGCAGGGATGCGCAGGGATGCGCAGGGATGAGCAGGGATGAGCAGGGATGGGCAGGGATGAGCAGGGATGAGCAGGGATGAGCTGGGATGCGCAGGGATGAGCAGGGATGAGCAGGGATGAGCAGGGATGCGCAGGGATGAGCAGGGATGAGCAGGGATGAGCAGGGATGAGCAGGGATGCGCAGGGATGAGCAGGGATGAGCAGGGATGAGCAGGGATGCGCAGGGATGAGCAGGGATGCGCAGGGATGTGCATGGATGTGGCTGCAGCCCCATTCCCCCCCCCCTGTGCCCCCCAGGCCCTGCAGGTCTCCCAGATCAAGCAGATCCGGCTCCTCATCGACGACGCCATCCTCAAGTGCGACGCCGAGCGCCTGAGGCTGGAGGCCGAGAGGTTCGAGAGCCTCCGGGAGATCGGGAACCTCCTGCACCCCTCGGTGCCCATCAGCAACGATGAGGTGAGGGCTGGGGCTGGGGCTGGGGCTGGGACTGGGACTGGGACTGGGACTGGGACCGGAGCAGGGCAGGGACAGGGACTGGGACTGGGACTGGGACTGGGACAGGGACTGGGACTGGGACCGGAGCAGGGGCAGGGACTGGGACTGGGACTGGAGCAGGGATAGGGACAGGGACTGGGAATGGAACTGGAGCAGGGGCAGGGACTGGAGCAGGAACAGGGATTGGGACTGGAGCAGGGACTGGGACTGGGACTGGGACTGGGACTGGGACCGGAGCAGGGATAGGAGCTGGGACAAGGACTGGGACTGGAGCAGGGATAGGGACAGGGACTGGGACTGGAACTGGAGCAGGAACAGGGACAGGAACTGGGACTGGGACTGGAGCAGGGACAGGGACTGGGATTGGGACTGGGACTGGGACCGGAGCAGGGATAGGGACAGGGACTGGAACTGGAGCAGGAACAGGGACAGAGACCAGAGCAGGAGCAGGGACAAGGAGCAGGAGCAGGGACAGGAGCAGGAGCAGGAACAAGGATCCGGCTGTGCTGGTTCATGAGAGCCAGACAAGCGCTGGCAAGCCGGCCCTGTCTGTGGGGCGGGTGAATGGGATCTGCATGAGAAGGCAGCGTTATCCCGCGGGGAGCAGACAAAGAGCAGCTCAGGCAGCGCTGGACACGGCCATTGTTGGGGGAATCCATGGGAAACGGGGGGGCTGGGATCTCCCTGTGCTGCCTTCATTCATCCATCCCTAGGGAATGCTGTGCTGGGGCACACAACTGGGCCAGGCCGGGTGCCAAGGGGCTGCCTAAGGAGGGAGCTGGGATTGCACTATGGGATCCCACAGTGGGCATCAAAGTGATGGGGGCTGCCCCCATCCTGTTCTTTCCCATCTCCATTTAGGATATGGACAACAAAGTGGAGCGGGTGTGGGGCGACTGCAGCTGCAGGAAGAAGTATTCCCATGTGGATCTGGTGGTGATGGTGGATGGCTACGAGGGCGAGAAGGGCGCTGTTGTGGCCGGCAGCCGGGGCTACTTCCTTAAGGTGGGATCCCAAACCCCCCCCCTGGATGGGATGGAAGTGATGGAGACAACGGCGGTGCCCATTGCTTTGAGCCTCTGCATCCACAGCAGCATCCCTGCACCGTTATCCCTTTATCCCTATTGAGGTGGCTCCGTTCCCTCGGTCCCCAGGGTCCCCTGGTGTTCCTGGAGCAGGCGCTCATCCAGTACGCGCTGCAGAGCCTGCGGGCCAAGGGGTACACGCCGGTCTACACCCCCTTCTTCATGCGCAAGGAGGTGATGCAGGAGGTGGCCCAGCTCAGCCAGTTCGACGAGGAGCTCTACAAGGTGAGGCCTCCGGCGCCCGACGCCGCTCCAGGGCTTCCCCATGGAGCCAAGCTGCTTCCAGACGGCTGGAATCTGACTGCCTGCCAGCCAGCGCTGCAGCAGCGCCCTTCCCTTGTGCTCCCTGTGCATCCCTGATCCCCAGGGTCCGTCCTTACCGTGGAACCCCAGTCTCCAGGGTCCATGTTCCCTGGATCCCCTATTCTGGGGGAGCATCTCCACTTGGGGTCCCTCTTTCCCTGGACCTCTATACACAGCACCCATCTTCCTTTGGTATCCGTATTTCTGGGGTCCCTCTTCCTCTGCACCCCGTATCTCCAGGGCCCATCTTCCCTGGATCCCATATTTGGGGGAGCATCTCCACCTGGGGTCCCTCTTTCCCTGGACCCTCTATACCCAGGGTCCATCTTCCTTTGGAATCCCTATTTCTGGGGTCCCTGTTCCTCTGCACCCCATATCTCCAGCATCCATCTTCCCTGGATCCTGTATTCTGGGGGAGCATCTCCACCTGGGGTCCCTCTTTCCCTGGACCCTCTATACCCAGGGTCCATCTTCCTTTGGAATCCCTATTTCCGGGGTCCCTGTTTCTCTGCACCCCATATCTCCAGGGTCCGTGTTCCCTGGACCCTGTATTCTGGGGGAGCATCTCCACTTGGGGTCTCTCTTTCCCTGGACCCTCTATATCCAGGGACCATCTTTCTTTGGATACTGTATCGCTGGGGTCCATCTTCCTTTGGAATCTCTATTTCCGGGGTCCCTCTTCCTCTGCACCCCACATCTCCAGGGCCCATCTTCCCTGGATCCCATATTTGGGGGAGCATCTCCACCTGGGGTCCCTCTTTCCCTGGACCCTCTATACCCAGGGCCCATCTTCCTTTGGAATCCCTGTTTCTGGGGCCCCTCTTTCTATGCACCCTGTATCTCCGGGGCCTGTGTTCCCTGGATCCCATATTTGGGGGAGCATCTCCACTCGGGGTCCCTCTTTCCCTGGACCCTTATCCCATTTCCGGGGTCCCTCTTTCTCTGCACCCCATATCTCCAGGATCCATCTTCCCTGGAATCCCCTGTCTGGTATCCCCTTCATATTTATGGTGTCACCCCATATTTATGGTGTCACCTTCATGGTCTCACCCCATATTTACGGCTCCATCTTCCTCTGGACCCCCTATCCTTAGGATCCCCCCATCACATCGTGATGCCAAGGGCTCTGCCGGTCCCCATCCCCACCCCGCAGCATCCCTGCATCCCCACCCCGCAGCATCCCTGCATCCCCCCACAAGGCATCCCAAGGAGCTTGAGGACGGGATCCACGTTATCCCCCATGCAGGTGATCGGCAAAGGCAGCGAGAGGGCCGAGGACAGCTCCATCGACGAGAAGTACCTGATCGCCACGTCGGAGCAGCCCATTGCCGCGCTGCACCGCGACGAGTGGCTGCGCCCCGAGGACCTGCCCCTCAAGTACGCGGGGCTCTCGACGTGCTTCCGACAGGAGGTGGGCTCCCACGGCCGCGACACCCGCGGCATCTTCCGTGTGCACCAGTTCGAGAAGGTGAGCGGCGTTCCCAGTATGGGGAATGGGGAATGGGGATGCTCCCAGTGCCAAAATGGGGCCATCCCCTTCCTTTTTGGTTCTCCCTGCTTAGATCGAGCAGTTCGTCTACGCCTCCCCCCGTGATAACAAGTCCTGGGAGCTGTTTGAGGAGATGATGGCCACGGCGGAGGAGTTCTACCAGTCCCTGGGCATCCCTTACCACGTCGTCAACATCGTTTCGGGTATGGGATGGGGATTCCTCACCATGGGACACCAGCATCACCTCCCAAGCCGTGTCCTGCTTCCCACCTCCGCTCTGCTTGGGCTCAAGGGCAATGGGGCGGCCCCAGTGGGGAGAGGTTTGCTCTGGCTCCAGGCATTGCTGCCCCTTCCCAAGGGATGTGCAGAGTGGAAGCTGATCCCATCGGGGACACACTGGTACCCTCCATCCCCAAGGCTTGGTGCTGGGGTATGGGGGGATGAGGAGCAGAAACCCCCCCCATTCTGCCCCATCCCTGTCTCCTCCCAGGCTCCCTGAACCACGCTGCCAGCAAGAAGCTGGACCTGGAAGCCTGGTTCCCAGGATCCGGAGCCTTCCGGGAGCTCGTGTCCTGCTCCAACTGCACCGATTACCAAGCGCGGCGCCTGCGCATCCGCTACGGGCAGACCAAGAAGATGATGGACAAGGTGAGCCCGAGTTTGGGGGGTTCCTGCTCCTCTTCCTCCATCCCCCCCCATCCCGGTGTCACCATGGCCCTGCCGTAGGTGGAGTTCGTGCACATGCTCAACGCCACCATGTGTGCCACCACCCGCACCATCTGCGCCATCCTGGAGAACCACCAGACCCACGAGGGCATCCGCATCCCGGACAAGCTCCGCGACTTCATGCCCCCAGGTACCCCTAATCCATCCCACAGCATCCTGCCTGCCCCCCCCTATCCCTCCCATCCTGCTCCCCCAATGCCTTCCCCCCCTTTATCTCTGTGCCCCCCCAGACCTGCGGGAGCTGATCCCCTTCGTGAGGCCGGCGCCCATTGAGCAGGAGCAATCCAAGAAGCAGAAGAAGCAGCAGGAGGGGGGCAAGAAGCGCTCCGGGGGGGGGACGGACCCCGTGTTGGAGGAGCAGATGCAGAACATGGGGGTCAACAGCGTCTGATGGGGGTGTCCCCCCCCCTCCAACCCCATGGCACCTTCACCTGAATCCCTTCACCTTCAGCCTGGGACTGATGCTGCTGGGGCTCCGTTTGTGTGGTCCCCCCCTGCCGCGCGGGGTTGGGGACCCCCCCCCCCTTTCCTATGTGTGCCCCCCCCATCCCTGGGGCCAGCACTGGCTTCTCCATCCGTGCAATAAAGCTGGGAATTGCTGAGCTGCTGCATTGGGGGCAAGAGAAGGGATTTGGGGGGGGGGTCCCCATTACACCCCTCTATGGGGGAGCGGGTTCTGGCACCCCCCATATGCCCCCCCCTCCGGGTTGGGCCCTGGCAGGCGCCGGTGCTGGGAGAGGCTCGGCTGCGTCACCGGGTGCCGGGGGGGGGTCCCTGAACCCCAACACCCGTCAGACCCGTTCCACAGCCCCAACCCACGCGCTCGGCAGCCACAGCACCCCGGGGTGCCCGGCGCCTCCCAGTGCGTCCCAGTGCATCCCAGTGCTGGTGCAATGGGGACTGGGGGGGTGCTGGTTATGGGTCGTCACTGTCTGCAGCAGGGGTGTGGGTGTTGTGGGTGCTCTGGGTGTGCCCACCGTGGGCATGGTTCACACATGTGCTCTGTGTGTGCCCATGTGTGTGGTCCATGCGTGTGGTGTGTGCCAGGTGTGTGCTGTGTGTGCATAGCGTGTCTCCCATGTGTATGGTTCACGTGTGCATGCATGCATGTTCTTTGTGTGTGCATAGCATGTGCCTCCCGTGTGTGTGCAAAGTATATGCGTGCATGTGGTTGTATGTGCGTAGTGTGTGCCTCTCGTGTGTGTGCAGTTCACATGTGTGCAAAGTGCATGCGTGCACCTTGTTTGTGTGTGCGTAGCGTGTGTCTTCCGTGTGCGCAGTCCATGTGTGTGCTGTGTGCCAGGCATGTGCTCTGTATGTATAGCATGTGCCTCCTATATGTGGGGTTCACATGTGTGTGCATGCGTGCACCATGTTTGTGTGTTCATAGCGTGTGCCTCCTGTATGTGGGGGGTTTACATGTATGTGCATGCGTGCACCTTGTGTGTGCCTAGCGTGTGCCTCCCCAGTGCGCAGTCCATGTGTGTGGTTGTGTGCTCCCCCCATGTGTGCAGCCCACCCGTGCTCTGTGTGCTTCACATGTGCCCCCATGGGCACGCTCCACACGTGTGTGCTCTGCGTGTGCAGGATGCGTGCTACCCACACGTGCTCTGCGTGTGCAGCATTGCATGGTCACAGCCCGGGGATGCGCGCGCCCTGCCTGTGCCTATGTGCAAGGTGTCCATGTGTGCTGTACACACATGTGCTCCGTGTGTGCTCCCTGTGTGCTCCCTGTGTGCTTTGTGTGAGCTCCCTGTGTTCTCTGTGTGTGCTCCGTGTGTGCCTCATGTGTGCTCCATGTGTGGCCTGTGTGAGCTCCATGTGTGTGCTGCGTGTGTGCTCCATGTGTGCTTTAAGTGTGCTCTATGTGAGCTCTGTGTGTGCTCCGTGTGTGCTCCGTGTGTGCTTCATGTGTGTGCTCTGTGTGAGCTCTGTGTGAGCTCTGTGTGTGCTTCATGTGTGCTATGTGTGTGGCCTGTGTGTGTGCTCCATGTGTGCCCCATGTGTGCTTCATGTGTGTGCTCTGTGAGCTCTGTGTGTGCTTCATGTGTGCTCTGTGTGTGTGCTCCGTGTGTGATTTATGTGTGCTCCATGTGTGCTCTGTGTGAGCTCCGTGTGTGCTCCGTGTGTACTTCATGTGTGTTCTCCATGTGATCTCCGTCTGTGCCCGCCCCCCCCCCTTCCTTCTCCCCCTCCCGCCGGTGCCCCGGGGGGGGGGCGGTGTCGGCGTCGGCTCCTTTAAGCGCGGCGCGGTCCCGGTGCAGTCTCGGGGCCCCGCCCCGGCGGGCGCGCGCGGGGCTCGGCGGGCACCGGCGGCAGGACCCGGCCATGGGGGCCGCGCGGCTCCCGGTGCTGCTCCCGCTGCTGCTGCTGCTGCTGCCAGCGCCGGGACCCGGCTCCGGCTCCGCCACCGGCACCGGCACCTGCGCGCCAGCACCGCCCCCGCCGCTCCTGCGGCCCCGCGCCGGCACCGGGGACAGCGGCAGCGCCGCCGGCGGCACCGGGGACAGCGGCGGAGCCGGGCCCGCAGCGAGCGGCGGCTGCGGAGGAACCGGAGGAGGGGAGCGGGGCGTCGGGAGCAGCGGGGATGCTGCGGGCAGCGGGGGCGCTGGAGGCACTGGGAGCACTGGGAACAGCGGAGGCCACGGGAGCGCTGGAGGCGCGGAGGATGCCGGAGGCACCGGGAGCACTGCGGGGATCCAAGTGCCCCAGGACCCTATTGGGCGTGATGGGGAGAGCGGGAGCACCAACACCCCCATGGGCGCCAGGGATGGGATGGACACCAGGGATACCGGGAGCACTCCCAGGGATACCGGGAACACCACAGGCACCGGGGCCATGGGGGACCCCAACCCCATAGGGGTCCGCCGGCGCCGCAGCTCCAACACAGCACCGCAATTCCAGCCCTCCAGCTACCAGGCATCGGTGGAGGAGAACCGGCCA